CACCCTTTCCCTTCCCCTCCTTACCCCCCTTCCCTCCCCCCGCCCGGTCCCAGCCCCTCCTGGGGCGGTGCCGTGTCCCGGAGGGGGGGTCCCGGGAGGGGCGTTCTGGGTGGGGGGGGTCCCCAGGGCCCTCTCCTACCCCCCCCCATCCCGCACCCCAGGGCCGGACCCCACCTGTGACATCGCCGCGTTGGGACCCCCCACCAGGGGCTGCCTGCTTCCCAGCAGAGAACGGGGTTCGAGGGGGATTTTGGGGGGCTCTTGGAATTTTGGAGGGGGCAGCGGGAATCCGTGGGCACCGTCCCAGCCTATCCCCCCGCTCCCGCAGGTGGCTGGATGGGAAGCGCAAAAGAAAGAGCAGCCAATGTTTGGTGAAGAGCAGCATGTCAGGTATGGGGACCCGCGGCACCCGCTGAACCCCCCCCGGGCACCCCATGGCCCTGCTGGCCACCCCCGGGTCACTCAAGTACCTCATGTGCTCCCCGGGTTCTGCAGGCATACCTGGTGGCCACCCTGGGGGCCCCGAGTGCTTGCCAGGGTCCCCTGCACACCCCATGTGTCACCTGTGTCCCCCAAACTCTATTGACACCTCTTGTCCCCCATGGGCACCCCAGGATTCCTACGTCTGTGCACCTCAGTGTCCCACGGACACCCCTTGTCCCTTGTGGGCACCCCAGGAACTCCATGTCGTTGCCAGGGTCCCACGGACACCCCTGGTGTGTCAGCCCGAGGTCCCCATGTCTCCCAGGCACCCCAGAATCCCGCGCACACCCCACTCCCATGTCGCCCCCCAAGGCCCTCCCCGCACCCCACATCCCTGCAGGGTCTCCCGGGGTCCCAGTCTCCCACGTCCCCGTCGGCGCCCCGTGGGTCGGGGCGGTGCTGTCGGGGCGGCAGCGCCCTGGGGTGGGCGATAAGGGGGGCCCCGCGGGCGCTGCCCCCCGCCCTGCCCCATTCCCCGGCGGGGAGCGGCCGGCGCCGGCGGGACCTGGCGGGGGGGCCGGAGGGAACCCGGGCGTCCAACTCCCGCCCATCCCCTGCACCCGCCCCGCTCCGTGAGGGAGGGAACACCCGGGGACCCCCACGGCCAGCACCTGCCGAGCGCCACAGAGGGCTCCAGGGGTCCCCACGCCTGGATTTGTGGGATGCCGGGTGCGTGTGGCAGTCCCGGGGTGCTGGGGACACCCCCCCGAATTATGGGTGATCTCTACATGGAGGGCCCAGGCGTCCAGCCCCCTCCCCATCTCTCCCAACCCTCGGGGAGTTCCATTTCCAGCACCCCCAAAACACGAGGGTGAGCTGCTGGGGGTGACATCGGGGACCCAGGGTGCTGGGAGCCACCCCGTGCTTCATGGATGATCCGTGCCTCAGTTTCCCTGAGCCGGTGGTGGCGGGGGGCTGGTCCCGGGCTGCCAGGCAGGGGGACCCCGGACACAGTGGGTCTTTGTGTGCCAGGGGGACGGGGACCCCCCCGCTGCCGGTCCCCAGCCGGATAATGGGATAATGGGGGCTTTATTGGTGCGGGGGGCTCGGGCACCCCCCACACACCCCCAGCGTTAACCCTTCCCGTGCCAGGGCAGGGGCAGTGGCGGGGCAGACAGTGGTGGGTGCAGACAGAGGGGAAACTGAGGCACGGAGAGGGGAGGGCATGCTGGGCATCCCTGGCATGGGGTGTGGAGGGGGGTCCCTGATGCTGCATAAGCCAAGGGTCTCTGTTTTGGGGTGTGCAGAGGGCTCCCTGACTCAGGGTTTCTGGGGGGTCCCTGGTGTGGGGTGTGTGGGACAGTCACTGGTACAGGGTGCTCCAGGAGTCCCTGACTTGGGGTTCCCTGGGGTTACCCTGTCATGGAGCACTCTGGGGGCCACTGATTTGGGGTGCTCTGGGGGTCTCTGTAATGGGAATCCCTGTCATGGAGCACCCCATGAGTCTCTGCTGTGGGGGGCCCTGCCCCGGGGTGCCCTGGGGGTCCCTGACTCGAGGGTCCCCGCAGGGTACATCCCTAGTTACCTGGACAAAGATGAACAGTGTGTGGTGTGTGGGGACAAGGCCACCGGCTACCACTACCGCTGCATCACCTGCGAGGGCTGCAAGGTGAGTTGGGGCAGAGGGGCTTAGGGGGCTCAGGGGGGCTCAGCAGGGCTCACTGTGCCACCCCCTGCGCCCTCCCCAGGGATTTTTCCGTCGGACCATCCAGAAGAACCTGCACCCCACCTACTCCTGCAAATACGATGGGTGCTGCGTCATTGACAAGATCACCCGCAACCAGTGCCAGCTCTGCCGCTTCAAGAAGTGCATCTCCGTGGGCATGGCCATGGACCGTGAGTTGGGGGACACGGGAGGGGCTCAGCTGGTGGGGCAGGTTGGAGTCCTGGCACCATGGGGCACATTGGGGTACTCAGATCAGCTGCAGGAGCAGGCTGGGATGTCAGGTGCTGTGATGCAGCAGCGGGGTGAGATGCATGGATGTGGAGTCCTAGCTGACTGCAGGGGTTCCAGATGATAGTGGGTGGTTTTTGGGAGGTGGGTTGGGGTCCTGGTGCTATGGTGCGAGTTGAGGCGCCTGGAGCAGCCACAGGAGGAGGCTGGGGGGTCACTGTGGGATGCATGGATGAGGGGATCCTGGCTGATGCCAGGGGTCCCGGCAGTGGTGCTGGATGACTCCAAGCGGGTAGCCAAGCGGAAGCTGATCGAGGAGAACCGGGAGCGGCGGCGGAAGGAGGAGATGATCAAGTCCCTGCAGCATCGCCCCAACCCCAGCGCCGAGGAGTGGGAGCTGATCCATGTTGTGACAGAAGCCCACCGCAGCACCAATGCCCAGGGCAGCCACTGGAAGCAGAAGCGGAAATTCCTGGTGAGGGGATGCAGTGGAGGGACTCTGTCACCATCTCAGCCCCCACCCTGCCCCCAGCCCCAGCTGGGATCTGCTGAGTGCTCGCACACTCAGCACACACATGGTGGCAGTGCCAGGGTTTGGGATGTCACAGGTGTCCTTGGGCAGTCGAGGGGGGTTGGGACATCGTTCAGTGTCCTTGAGTAAGTCACCCCCAAAGGGTTCAGGGGTGAGCAGTGACCGAAGGGGACAGCTGTGCCCGCGGATGGCCCTGGCCCTGCCACTGTCCCTGTCATGCAGCTCCCTCTCCTGGCTGCTGCACCGGCCCTGCCATGACTGCTCCCGGTGACGTGGGGGCCCCAGGGTGGGGCAGGGTCACATCACGGCTCCCCGGGGGTCCCAGGGAGGGGGAACATGGTCACACCTCACCCCCATATGTCCACTGTGGGGGTCATGGGGGGAAAACAGTCACTCTGCACCCCCTAACACCACTGTTCACTGTGGGGACCACAGGCTGGACATGGTCACACCAGATCCCCAATGCCACCACGGGAGTCCCAGGGCAGGATATGATCACACCACGCTTCCAACCCCACTGCCCACCATGGGGGTCCCAGAAGGTCACACAGTCACGCTGCACCCCCAAACCCCACTGTCCACCATGGGGGACACAGTCACACCACGTGCCCTGTCTGCTGTGGGGGTCCAGGGGTGACACGGCCACATCACGCTCCCCAATGCCACCATGGTGGTCCCAGGGGGCACATGGTGACATCACACCTCGCCAACACCACCATGTCCCCCACAGCCTGAGGACATCGGCCAGTCCCCCATGGCCTCCATGCCCGATGGGGACAAAGTCGACCTGGAGGCGTTCAGCGAGTTTACAAAAATCATCACCCCGGCCATCACCCGCGTGGTCGACTTTGCCAAAAAACTGCCCATGTTTTCAGAGGTAACGGTGGGCTGGGCAGTTTGGGAGGTCTGGGGTGGTCTGCCCAGAATCTGAGTCACACCAAAACCCCCAAAACTTCCCCCAGCTGCCTTGCGAGGACCAGATCATCCTGCTGAAGGGGTGCTGCATGGAGATCATGTCGCTGCGGGCGGCCGTGCGCTACGACCCCGAGAGCGAGACGCTGACGCTGAGCGGGGAGATGGCAGTGAAACGTGAGCAGCTCAAGAACGGCGGCCTCGGCGTCGTCTCCGATGCCATCTTCGACCTGGGCAAGTCCCTCTCTGCCTTCAACCTGGATGACACCGAGGTGGCCCTGCTCCAGGCTGTGCTGCTCATGTCCTCAGGTAATGGGTGATGGTGGAATGGGGTGGGCACCCCAGTGCCCAGGGAATTGGAGGGTATGTTGGGTGGGCACCCCAATGCTCAAGTTCTCACGGTCCTGGAGAGGTGTTGGGTGGGCACCCTGATGCCAGAGGTCCCCAGCAGCTTCAGGGGGAATTGGATGGGCACCCCCATGCCCAGAGGTTGTCCATGGGGGTTGTTGTATTGGCACCCCCTTGCCCACCACCTCCAGCATATGAAGGTGTATTGGGTGGGCATCCCGATGCCCAGAGTCCTCACTGTCTTGGGGGTGTGTTGGATGGGCACTCTGATGGCAGAGCCCCCCAACATCTTCAGAGTGCGTTGGGTGGGAAACCATGCCCCCCTGGATTTGGGGTGGGCATTCCCAATTCTTAAAGCTTCAGGCAGCTGTGCCAGGCTGGAAGGGATCCCAAGAGCATGAAGTAGGAACTCCAGTCCCTGATACCCAGGTTGAGGCTCTTGGTCCCCTGAGGACCTCTTCCAGACTGACGTGGGTCTGTGGGATGGGCACCCCAACAGCCAGGGGTGCATGGGACACTCAGCCCTGTGGGAGGGAGAATCCCTGTAGATGCTGGACTGGGAGAGGGACTGTTCCAGAGGTAGAAAATGCCAGGACAAGGAGAGGTTTAAACTAAAAAAGGAAGATTGTGATGGTATATTGGAAAGAAATTCCTCTCTGTGAGGGTGGTGAGGCCCTGGCACAGGTTGCTCAGAGAAGTGTGGCTGCCCCATCCCTGCAAGTGTCCAAGGCCAGGTTGGATGGGGCTTGGAGGAACCTGGGGTAGGGGAACATGTCCCTGCCCGTAGCAGGGGTGGGACTGGATGAGCTTTAACATCACTTGCCACACAAACCATTCTGTGACTCCATGGTGCCCTGACGGTTCCCTGGTTCCTGCAGACCGGACGGGGCTGATCTGCGTGGAGAAGATCGAGAAGTGCCAGGAGACGTATCTGCTGGCCTTTGAGCACTACATCAACTACCGCAAACACAACATTCCCCACTTCTGGCCCAAGCTGCTGATGAAGGTGACGGATCTGCGGATGATCGGCGCCTGCCACGCCAGCCGCTTCCTGCACATGAAGGTGGAGTGTCCCACCGAGCTCTTCCCCCCCCTCTTCCTCGAGGTCTTCGAGGACCAGGAGGTGTAGGGCTGACACCCCCCACCCTGTGCCCCCACAACCCCACTCTGGCCCCCCCAAAATCTTTCTCGTCCCCCTGTAAGGACAAGGGGATGCTGTGCCCAGGGTGGGGGTCCTGCTGTGCCCCCCAACAGCCACCCCCCCCGCCCCAGGACTTGACGAATTTTGTTTGTTTGCACAGGGAAGGGCCCCGACGGTCGAGCGTTCCCTTTATTGTCCTTCTCTTCGTAGATTATTATTTTTTAAGCATTTATTTCCCTCCCTGAGAGGCTAAAATATTAAACTAACTGCACTTTGGAAGGAGGAGGAGGAGGAGGAGGAGGAGGAGGAGGAAGAGCAGGGAGGAGAGGAGGGGGCTCTGGGCTGCACAGGGAGAGGCTGCCTCGGCTGGGGGGCCGTGGCCATATGCACTTTTGGCCGGGCAGCAATTTGGGGGCTGGGGTGGGGACCAGGACCCTCCTCCATAGCAGGGCAGGGGCTGGGACCTCCATCCCCCATAGTGGGGTGAGGGCCAGGACCCCCCCCATAGCAAAGTGGGGGCCAGGACCCCCCACCCCCCACAGCAGGGCGGGGGCACAGGGGGGGCACAGCGGTGGTGAGGGGGACCCAGCCCATCGGGGTGCAGGGCTGGTGGACCCTCCCCAGCCCACTGGGTCTGCCCCGGCTGGGGTGACCACCCTGTGTCCCCCCCTTATCCCCAAATTTGGGGCCAGATTTGGGGTTTGGGGGGTTCTCTTGTCTTTTTTTTGGGCTGAGAGGAGACAATTTTGTGCCAAGCGCCGCGGATGGTGGGCGCTGCAGGACACTGGGGGGGGGCGACTCCCCCCCCAAACCCCCCCAACTTTTCCGTTGTCCTTTTTTTTTTGTTGTTTTTCCCCTCGTCCTCGTGGGTTTTGTCGTGTCCGTCAGGAGTTGCAAAGGCCCCGGAGGCGCCGGCGGGGGGGCAGTGGGTGCCCCCCCCGGGATCCCCCACTGCACTACTGCCCCGGCCCCCTGGCAGCAGCACTTTGGGGGGGCTGCACCCCCCCAACTGCCCCCCCAATGCTGCCAGGGCGGCCGGGCTGAGGCGGGGGCCGGCAGGGGGAGTCCCACAGGGGGTTGGGGTGGGGGGGCACAGCTGCAAGGGGGCACCCGGGAATAGGTTTGTGAATTTTTTCTTACCTCAGGCGGAGGCCGAGGGGGGGTGCGGGCCGGGGGGGGGCCGGCGAGGCAGGCCGGGCCCACCTAAGCTAATATATATATATATATATATAAATATATATAAAATATATAATTTTTGTAATTAAAAAAAAAAATCTTTTTACGGGTCGTTTAAAAGCAGAAAATCCCAACACCAGACACGTCCCCCCACAGGCACAGGGGGCCGGGCTGGGCTCCCCCCACACCCCAGACTCCCACAACCATAGGGGTCATGTCGGGGGGGCCCCGCCAGACCCCCTGCAGCTGGGTTGGGGGGCACAGCGGGGCTGTGGCACCCCAGGGTGCCGTGGGTGGGGGCGCCTGCCCCCAGCCCTAAGTACCAGCGCCGGATTTGACCTTGGTGCAAAATGTCTTAAACCCCCACCCGGGTGCCCGGGGGGTCCCGGCTCGGGGGTCCCGGCAGCACCGGCTGCGGGCGGTGCAATAGGAGCCGAACACTAACGCCCGCACTGGGGGGGCGCAGGGTTCGGGGGTTCGCCCCCCAGCCCTGGCAGCACCGGTCCCGACACGTGCCTTCGGGCCACGGGCGGGGCTGCGGCACCCGGCTGATGCCCCCCAACGCCCGGTGGTGTTGTGGCCGTGCCGGTGCCGTGGCCGTGCCATGTTGGTGCCGTGACCGTGCCGGTGCTGTGGCCACGCGTGCTGGTGCTGTGCCAGCGCCGTGGCCGTGCCATGTCGGTGCCAGTGCAAGGCACGTTGGTGCAATGCCGGTGCCACGGCCACGCGTGTTGGTGCCGTGGCCGTGCCATCTCAGTGCCATGGCATCTCCTGTTGGTGCAATGACGGCGCGGAGCCGGTGCCGTGGCCGTGCCATGTCGTTGCGGTACCGGTGCCGGTGCCGTGGCCCCGCGCTGCCCGCATGTTCCCGCGCACACTCCGTGTGACGCCGCGCGCTCCCGTCGCGACACGGGACGTGTCTTAATCAGCCCCCGTGACCCCCCCCGAGCGGCCACACGGGGCCCTGGGGCAGCTTGTCCCGGGGTGGGGGGCTCAGCCCGGCACTCCCCACCCGCTGCCCCCCGCACGCCCCCCAACCCTGTACTCCCCCCGCGCCCCCCCCGGGCCGTCCCCGCGTCTCCGTCTCGCGTCGCCATCGCACGTCCAGCATCCAGCGTCGGTCCCGGGGGGC